GGTTCAGGTGAATCCTATCCCAGAAAAAAAAATTGTTGTTTTTTTGTTTTGCCAACGAAAAAAATTGTACTATTTTGCCCTTCATGGTCTTGCCTACTCCATAATTGTAGATAATATAACCAAAATTATTGAAGGAAGATCATCTACAAGCCAAGCATCCTTACAATTCACATATTTTATAGAAAGGAAGTTAAGATCTTTGGAGTGAAGGCATAGATAAAGTAGAAAGAGATGGAAAGGGAAAGGAAATGCTCCTGTCTACTATGTCCTTGTGTTAAGGACCTATTAATAGTTTTATGTAAATTAAAAATTTTAGTTAAAATTAATTGATATTTTTAAAATTATAAAACCATCTGTAAAATTTATTAATTAATTAGAATGGGTTATATATGGTTAGAATATTGTTCAACTAGTTGGAGAATATCAAAATAAAATGTGTTTAATTTTCTTATATTAAAAACTAAAGATAATAATAAGGATGAAATAGAGTATTTCATTAATTTTTTTAAAGAAAGATGAGAATCATCTGCTATCAAGTATAATCAATTAATTTGAATTCAAGTTAGCGGTAAATTATTTCAGTAACAATACCACCTTTTATACTTGGATGAAATTTCAAACTCGACCTCGTCGTAATTTATGTGTGCGCTTGCATTTTGATGAATTCAAGTTATGCCCTGTTCTCTGTGAGAAAAAGTTATTCTAGCAAGATTTTTTTTTAAATATTTACATTACTCAAATTTAAGACCCTATATTAAAAAAATACTATTCCATCGCTTATTATAAGATCCTTTCAACTAAATTGCACGATTTAAAAAACAGTTAAAATTAGTTAAAAGCAATTAATATGTAACAAATACAATTTTTTTTTTAAAATATACCCCTATGTATAAATGGGTAGATGTAAGAGAGTAATAGTGAGATAAATGAAGAAAGAGAATGTATTAAATACATTAAATTAGGGATAAAATAAGTAATAATGCATTAAATATTTAGACAAACTTAAAAAAGATTTTATAAAAAGAGACAAACCTATTTAAAAAATTAAATCTTATAATAAGAGACGGAAGGAGTATTAGATTAAATCAGGAATTGCTTTTTAAAATTGAAAAAAAACTACATTAATTATACTTCCTATCCGTTCTATGTGCGGCTTTTCACAGGGGCCCATCCAATAAGGTGATGATCTAGGTGGGACTTTATTATTATTTTGGTATTTTGATATTTATTTTGGAAAAAATAAGGAAAAATCTAAAAAAAAATGACTGCTAAATTTCAAAATTCTAAATAAAAAATTATTATAAAAATATGATGTCATTTGTTTTTCGAATGCAGTCTTTTTTTTACACAAGTGCAGTAATCAATACTAATTTAAAAATTTGAAATTCAACAATTATTTTTTTAGGATTTTCCCAAAAAATAATGCAGTCCCCGGTGGTTCATGAACTACTGCTTGCTAGCTTGAACAATTTAAATAGATTAATCAAACTAATTAGTTTTTTATTAATTCAAAGTATCTTAAAATCACTTTAAACTTGAGATTAATTTTTATCAGATTGGGAGCGTTGAGGTTAAAGCTATTTCAACAAGTGTACTTCTTAACATTCAAATTTGTATTCTACTTTTTACAGAGTGAGACTACTTATCATCTTGAACAATAACTTAATGTTCAATTAGATTATCTAATTTCAACAAACATAACACAATCTCCTTAAAATAACCCTATATAATATCAAATTACATATATGTCTATAAGTTAGATAAATACCCCTATATTTTAAATATTTAATCATACTACCTCATGTCCTTAATATAAGAGTTAGTTAACAAATTTTAGAAGATTATAGAAGCTTGTTAAGTTAGTTGTTTGTAATATGCTACCTTCAGTCCTTAATATAATAGCTCGTTTGATTTTTATTTTTATTTTAAATATAAAACTTAAATCCATTTTGTTTCTCATATTTATTTATTTATTTCAAATTAGTCCTTGTAATGACGATAGTTCTAGCCAATACAGTTGATTAACAAGGATATTTTAGGAAAAATAATATCTATTTATTACAAATAACTAACATAACTAATTTTTTTAATCTACTCAAATTAATCAACTAATTCTTATATATTAAGGACCGTAGGTGGTATGTGTTATGTTTTCTAAAATACCTTTGCTAATCATATGTATTAGTTAGAATTACTACTTGATAGAATTTTTAACATGTACAACCACTACAAAAACTATTTTGAAAAAATAGATAAATATAAAAGAAAAAAATAAATTATGGTCTTATATTTAGAATTAAATTAAAAGTCAAGTTAACTGTTATATTAAAGATCGAAAATATTATATCTTTACTCTTTAGTAACTACTTATTGATACAAGTAAAATCTTGCATGTTTAGTAATCAGGCTCATGATCCGAATGTATGCCCTTAGGAGCAATGTACTTGGTGAAATTTAACAACATTGGTAAACAAAGTATAGACAGTACGAAGAGAATCCGAATCTGCGATAATTGAGCGTTGGGAAGACAATTAATATTTGAATTAGCAACATGAGGATCGGTGATTCCTCATTATAATCCAAACTCAAGAGAGATTTGAATTAACAAATACTAACTTAACAGAGCGACTAGAGATAATTTTGATTTGTTTACAATTTGTCGGTGGTGTTGTTAAATTAATACTCTTCCGGTCCTTATTATAAGACCCCATTTAACTTTTTATTTGGTGCTAATTATAAGATCCCAATCCATTTTGTCTCTTATATTTATGCATTTTTTTCCAAGATAATCCTTCTAATAATGATAGTTTTAGCCAATATACTTAATTAGTAAGGATATTTTAGGAATGACAACACTTATTTATTATAAATAACCAACTTAACTTACTTTCTTAATCTCCTCAAATAAGTCAATTGAGTCTTATAATTAGGACCGGAGTGAGTATTATGTTTAGATATGTGTTATTAAACTAATACTATGCCTAGATATCCACGATGAGTTTGGGTAATTATCTTATAATAAGACTTTTTTTGGGGGCCAGGATATACTATAATAAGATCTGAGCCATTCAAAACTAATGTCGGTAATTTATAATTATAATTTTTAGTTGGGAGAATGACAAAAAAAAAAAAAAAGAAGTTGAAAATTACAAATCTTAAATCAGGTTTGGTAACACAATTTTATTTGATATTAACAAGTCAGAATTTGCAAATAATAACAAATTTTTATTGACATTCCTTATTTGGTATTTACAAAAATTCTAATTTCTTTTTTTGTTATTGTCCCTTTTTAATTTGTTGCTTACATTAATTTTCTTATATTTATGGTATTAACTTCTCTAATCACACATAATCATATGTCTTATTTTTAAAATATCATCATTTAATTATAAATACACGTGAATAAAATAGGACACATAATCATGTTTGATTGAGAACTTAATATAATGAATAATAAACTATAATTATAACGTTATCTTTGCTTCAATTTCTATTTTTATTAAAACAATATTTTATTAAAAGTAAAAAAAATAAAATTATATTAAATTTAAGGCCACGCAATTTAAATTTGTGGGTTAAAGCTGATTTCGATATCCTGCCCAGCATTAAAATTTAGAATTTTGACACGGCTGCAACATGCAACTTGCAACACCCAAATGTAATTTAAGCTTTATCGGTAAGGAGGAGAATGGACAGGCAAGAAAATAGTACGTTGCATATATTACTATTTTAATTTAATTATTATTTAAATTACCCTTCTGATCCACATGCTGAGATACATTTTTAATAGAAGAGAGGACAACATAATATATTTTATATGGTTAAACTTTGTTTTTTGGCCTCGTTTTATATGGTTAAATTGACTACAAGAAGGTCACCAAAAAAGAAAAATAATAAATTGAGTGCAAGAAATTCAATATTTACTGATATTTTGAATTATACTGTTATTGATGAACTGGATGATCTTAAGAGAGTTTCTTCCCATTTGATGCCTAATAATTCTACCAATTCTAAATATAAAATCTAATTTTTTTGTGTCAAAATATGATATAATTTATAATATAATTTGCACTATAAATTATATCTTATATTTAAAATAAGAGGTAGTGTTTGGAAAGAATATTTTGCTTCGCCTCATCAGTATCTTTTTGTTTGATCGATTAAACTATAGTAGCAACCAGTTAATTAATTTTGTAAATTTATATATTTAGAGAATATCTTTTTATTTACTTTTCATTAAAGCAAGTTGGAAAACTGCGTGCTTTTTTTTTTTCTTAAAATCTGAAAACTGTGTGCTGGGATAAAATAAAGAAAATAAATGTTATTTTCAGATCATGTTAACACTTGACATCTGAGTGCCCTCTAATAAATTACTACTTCCGATTTTTAATATAAGATCTTATTTGACTTTTATTTTGATCATAAATATAAAATCCCAATCTATTTTGTCTCTCGTATTTATACATTTTTTTCTCAAAAAAGTCCTTTTAACAATGGTAATTTTAGTCAATACACTTAATTGGTAAAGATATTTTAAGAAAGACAACACTTATTTATTTAAATAACTAACTCAACTTTTTTTTTTAATCTTCTCAAATTAGTCAACTAACTTTTATAATTAGAACCAGAAGTAGTACAAAACAAACACGTAATAATAATAATAGTTTCATGAAGAAGCAATGTGAATTTCCTGAGTTTATTTTTTGGACCCAACCCCCGCCCCCAAATAAAATAAAATACAAACCTCAAAAAATACTTGATATAAAAACCAATTAGGAGTTAAATTTAATCATCTAATATATATGGTTGATGAGGATAATTAAGAAAACTAACACATACTTATAATGAATAAAAATATACTTCCATGTTGCCATAAATCTATAAAAATTAAAGATCTCGTTACAGATCTTCTGCAGTCACAAAAGAAAAAAAAAATATCATACATTCAAAAAGAGAAATCAAAAAGGAAAAAAACTGATGAGCATCAAGGGACAAAAATGTAAACGGCATATATCATCACATTCTATTATATACTACGTTTCACCCAACCTATACCTGGGTGACAAGGGATTTAAAGTAAATCACATTATTGAAATCAAATTTTGACTTTTACAAGTCTGAAAAAATATTGTTTGTCTCTAAGAATCTAATCTTCTAATTCTAATGTCAGCAAAATACAGACAATATCAAACCACAAATAACCTTTAATTGTTAAGATCTTACCCTGATAGGTTCCATATCCTGCCATCTTGGGATGATAACCTTGAATCTGAAATTTTTTCCACCTAACCCCAAATCAATCCAAACCAAACCGTTTGACAACTACAATCTAAACACACTTCTGGAACTATACGCATATTCTAACAGGAATCTCCTATGAATAATACATTATATTGTGTACTGTCCATCATGTACAAAAGAATTTCCCATTGCCCAGGCATGGATTGAGAATATGAAAAAGAAGAAGAATAATAATGCCTAACAGCAGATGCTAAGATAACCATCTTCTGTTCCAACAAGAAAAAATCGAGAAAATGGAAGGATACTAATACTTGACAATGATGACAAGCTTTTTGATCCATTATCTGATGTGTAGAGTTTCTGAGGAATAATGTGATGTGGTCCGTCCTGTGTCATGAAAACCTTGGTCATATTACCGTAGTATATTTGGCATTCATAATTCATGATTATCAGTTTTGACATTCTAATACTCTCTAACCATGTTACGCTACAATTTTACACCCCCATAATCATCAGATATATGATTCAATTTTACCCAAAATATCAACCCCCCCCCCCAAAAAAAAAAAAAAAAACACATATATATGTTCCTAGTTAAGACCTTGAACACGACATGAAAGAAGAGAGAGAGGCATACTGGTTCATCAGCAGATCTAGACAAGGATAGAAGTCCAATCCTACTTTTGGAAATTGAAATAACATCTTGGCCCCAAATGGAGAAATTTAATATGCCATCTGAGTGACCTCTGAAAGTGACGGGCTGCGATTGGAAATTCCTGAAACAACAACTGAAAAATGAGCACCAGGATGTCTTTCCTAAGTGCAGAAAAAGGCTTAGCAGTTTTATTAATTTTTTCCTATCAGGAAAATAGCTGTCAATAAGAAGTTAGAATTTATCAGAATATTTTACGACACGTAACAACAAAACATAGAGGAGCGGAGAAGTCTGTCACTATAATGCACAGCATTGGGGATGCAAACACACAAAATTATTGTTGGAACAGTTTTTCCTATCATTTTTATCTTCAGACTGATTCTTAATTTACAAGTGAAACCTGCTTATCGCAAATACATTATTGTCATGAAAAAGTAAGCTCCCATAGGTCAGGTGCTTCCTCAAATGTCAATCACATGCATCTTAACTTCTAAGGATTTTGATGTGTCAACTTTGAACGTAGGTCAGAAAAAGATGGAATGAGATGGCCGTAAATTGTGCTAGTGAACTAAAGATTCATGAAGGGCATAGCGCTTTACATCCTTAAGTCCCAGACTCGTAATGTTTTGTCAAGAGAGCTAGAAATGAGCAGATGGTCTTCAGGTGCTGCCAGCTGCAGTTTATAATAACATCAGTGAAGGTCTGTGCAAAATCAAATTTGGTGTTAACATTCTGACTTATGAGAATACCTTAGTCACATATCCATCATGAGCTCGCCATGAGGCAATGACATTTCCACTCTTCGCATCAAATAATTTACAATGACCAGAACTTAGACCAGTTGCAATTAAAGATGGCAAAGTAGAAGCTCCGCCTGTTTGCATCTTGTCAGCCCTAGAGGAACAAATGGCAGAAATAAGAGAAGGAAAACTAGATTCATTAGATTCCCCTCTCCAGATATGAAGCTTTTGACCTCGAGCAACATCAATGAACCTGTACAGCAAAGCAAGAGATCAAGGTTTTATCACAAATACATCTCCAATGCATATATGATTGTAATGGAACTCAAACTAGAGAGTAAAATCCACCTGAGAGACCCATTTCCAGTGCCAACTGCGAGCATTTCGGGAGAGTCTAATAGATGCATACAAGTATAAAGGCTTGAATCAAAGGCACTAGACAATATTCCGTTTGATAATGCATTCATATTAAGAACATTAGCCTGGTCACTATTTATCTTTGACTGAGAGGATACATGGCTTGGAAGGTGGGCAACTTCTATTGGAGACTCAGCAAATACTGATATTGTCTTCCCCGTTTGACTATTCCAAACATGAATGGTTCCGTCACAAGATGCCACTCTTCCACTGGATGATAAGATACATATATCGTTCACAACCTACAATTGAGATAAATGATTGGTGAAATGCGTCACAAAATTACCACTGATCATTAAAACTAGAACATCATGTGAGTCACACAAAAGCCAAGAGCACATATCAACTCGCAGCTAATTCTAGGCTATAACAGTTTCCTTTGTATTTTGTTGCACTACTTCCTACCATCCAGTCAAGTTTTACTATACAACTAAGACAGTGCTTCATTGTAATACCGAAAATATGTGATGCTAAGAGGACTCAGATTATGCAGCATGTCTAATCATCGAGGAGTATAGTTTTAATTAAGAGATAGAAGAAGCAAACCTCCTCATGGCCATAATAGCCAGATAAACAGTTAGTTCGACTAAGTTCCCACTTCTGAACAATTCCTTTATAACCTTGGCCAACACCTGCTGTGAAAACAGTACACTCATCTTGACATACAGCTAAAGACCTCACAGCTCCATGATGTGCACGTGTAGAGTATATAACAGATGCTCTGATCTTCCATGGAAGGTCATCTTTTTGAAGACCCACACGCCCAAGAAATTCAGGTCCATCCCAGATAGTAGCTGGACTAGGGAACCAAAACCAGGGTTCATGATTCATTTGATATGACACTCCTTCATGCACTAAGGTTGGACTTTGATGAACTGCATTTGATCGTCGTGGGGAGATCAGGTTTTTGGAACTTCTACTTCCTTGGGATTGTGGAATTGACCAGCCAACCCCATTAAGCAATAACTTTGCCGGATTGTATTCATTTTTAAATCCCCTTGTAGTTGTAGGTCTTCGAGCAATTATATTTTCTGAACCACTTCTTGATGACTCCCCTGAATATTCCCACTGAATCATGATGGGTTTAGAAATAAGAGCAAGAAAGATGTGCACAGTGCTATGTAATAGAAACAATCATATCAATAAAGCACTCACAAGTCTCCGCTTGAGAAGTGATATGGGAAAATTTAAAAAAAAAAAAAAAAGGTAGTATACCTTCCAATTATGACGACGTTGAAGAAATTGTTCAAGGAGCAACCATGTAGCACAACATTGACGAAGTTTTTCTATTCCAAGAAGAGATGCAAAGAAAGGATAAAGAAGCAACCTGCATATGACACATTTTATACACATAAAGCTAAAAAGAAAGGGGCAATTTTATGCAACAAAATAAATCAAATCAGCTGTGATTGTAGGATGAGCATCCTATTCCCAGTAAATTAAACCCTAAAATACATTAGGAATATCCTCAGTTTGCAGTCAGACGAGGCAGTTTAAAGTTAATAGTAATTTTTGAAAGCTTTTTGTTTGGATTCCACCCTTAAATTCCTACAGTAATTTTATAAGAACGTGAAATTCGGCCTGAATAGGTGAAGTTTGAGAACTTTTCTTTCATTTTTGGAGGTTTAGTTTCTTGTATCATTTTTAATTCATACAGTCACACAAATATACACATGCATGCACAGACATATTTTACCAACCTAAAATCTAGTCTAGTAAGCATATTGACACTTACACTAGATCCATTCGACTTTCAATGTGTAAATCCCCACCAATTTTTAACTTTGCAATCTTCGAGCTTCTGCCAGCAGTGGCAGAACCTTCAGCAACTTCCTTTGAGAACGCAAGCTCATCAAATAGTTCTTTGAGTTTTGGTAGAATATGAAGCACCGTCGAGTCTTGTCCAATTCGTTGACAAATTGCAAATAAAGTAGTAGCAGCAACCTGATCAGCATAAGCACGAAGAGTTAATAATTTAGCTAATGGATTAGACACATGATAGGAAGGAAGAAGCATACTTATCCGACTGTCAGGTATATTAGCTGGATAATAAGGTCAGAAAGAACCTACAAGAGTTCATAACTTTGGGGGCTAGCATAAAAGCAACAGAAGACATCTATCTATGGTTTAGTTTGTTATGCCCTAGGGTCGAAAGGCACAAACGTCAATCATACATGACTGTTCATTTTCATCAATTCCAACACAGAGACTTTTTTTTTTTGGTTTGGGGGGGGGGGGCTACCGCCCATTTAACAGAAAATTTCTGTGATTTACGATCAGTTCCAACAATCACACATGACTGTTCATTTTCATCAACTCCAACACAAAGAAACTTTTTTTTTTTTTTGGCTTTGTGGGGGGGGAGGGGGGCATTGTCCATTTAACACAACAAAATTTCTGTGACTTATGATCCACTCAAAGTGACAAAATCCCTCAAGGGAAAGTCCAAAAAGCTAAGGTAGGATGAGAGCCAACAGAACTTGATAAGTAGTGAATTTAAAACAAACCAATAGATAACTTGAACCTGAAGCACCGCAATTTCCATATGTTTCTGCTTAAGAACCTCAATGTATAGACACCTTTGATCCTGCAAGTTTATAATTGATTCAACTGTCAACTGTGAGACATCATTTTACAGTCAATCAAGCAGTTTGAACGTTGAAGACTACAGAACAACAACCATACTTCAAGTAGTTCCTTCACAATAGATTCTTGTGTGAGGAAAGCCACAAGACCATCTAATGCCATCATACAATCAATAAGTGCTAAAGCACTCCAGCTCTGGACAGGATCCGGCTTATTCATGCATGATATATCAATGAAGTAATGAACCATGTTTTTAAGTATTGGCAGCAACTGTCTGACAATAAAGGATTCGCCAAAAACACCACCTGAGAAGTCAAAGAATGGAAGGGGCTTACAAGCTGAAGGTCTGATGGAACCCTGCTTTCTGTATGTTACTTAGACCAGAATAAAAAGATTAACAACTCTGCCAGTACAAAATGATACACAGAATAGTGGATTCGGTCCAGTAAGGAAAATGAAAAATAAACAGCACGAAAACATATTAAACAATGCAAAATGAGAAAATCGTAAAGATAGTGTTTCAACTTTCAAAATTCCAAGATGCTACAATCTCTCCTAATTTCCCCAGAAAAATGATACTCTTCCTTCCTTAGTGGATGGTCCTTGATGTACTATCCCACCACTTTCTTTCTCTGCCGGCACACAGCATCACAATCATTATGTATCATAGTTTCTACAACCTCTAATTCCTTTTCGGCACCTCAATCTAAGTTAGTTTCTAGATTACACTACGTCTCCTTAATCTTGTTGGACCTACACCCATCATCTTCTCCATATCCCTTCAATTATAGGTGCTAACAACAGCAAACCCATCAAGGTCTTAAATTTTTTTTGTTTTGTTTTTGAAAGATGGCAAAATCTTAAGCCAAAGAACCAAGATTACCAATTCTGACCAGCACATCAATTCCATCAGCACACAGTCCTTTCCCGAAGCAGTGAACCAGAGGCAAGATTGTCTGATCCAAAAATTGGAGGTTACTAAAACATGATAATTTTTACATGCATGTCAGAGTGCATGCTTGTGCAGAACAGAAAAAAATAGCAACAAAGGTTCTCGCAAAAACCTGATGGATGGTAATGGGTACACCAAGCTCCTCACTGGAACCAATTAACAACACAGAAGCGGAGACAGCTGAAGTTTTGTGCGGAGAAACATACAAGTTTGACAAGACCAAGGGATGAATAGTTTCCAGGTATATTTGTTTACCAACTCCATTCCATATTTCACATACAAATGTATCTTGTAAAAGAGAAACCTTCAAATGAGAATCACCTGTAGTCTGCAAAGTGCAAACAGATCTACAGGTAAGAAGTCAAAGAAAATAGAAGGACCAAAAAATGTCTACATGCTTTTTGAAATTCATAAAAGTTTACAACTAACCTGCAAGATTTTTTGGATGGTTGGTAAGACTAGTGTTTTCACTGCTTGTGCTGTTAAGCATTTTATGAACTCTCTAATTAGTACATTGGCCAATTCAGCTTCAGTGTCATTCACTGAATCTAATACAAGTGGCAAGCAAAAAGGGGCACACATTTCAGCTGCAAATGTGCCCATTAACTTGAGGGCTCCCTGCTTGGCAAAATTTGCAGCATAACGAAGGCGGGTTTCATTCTTAGCCAGAAGCTGAAGGGGGGCAAGAAACAGGTAGGTAGATTTTACAGTCTTTGGAAAATAAGGTGATTCCAGAAGAGTTTTGACTGTTGGCCTCCTGCACAACAAAACAGATACTTCAACAAAATGATAGAAAAAGAAGCAGATCCACTAACAATAAAGATTTGTAGAAATGCCCGGTGCATACATGGACAAAGTTGTTCACTAACACCTAAGCAGATGAGCTTATGTGTGCAAAAAAAATTTGCACATACAGACACACACAATTTGATACCTTGTCCATTCTTTTCGAATGCATGCTTGGACAAGTAATTTAATATGAGGAGGTAGTTCCTGTAAAAATGCTGGTAAGGTTCCATCCTCCAAGTATATTGCCAATGAGGCTGAATCAAAGAGAGGCCTACACAGATAGAGTTCGGCTAGGATACAACCAACAGAAAATATGTCTCTTGCAACATCTTCAGAGGTGAGTTTTGAACAAGAAAATTTCTGCCTCCAAAGCAAAAAGTCTGGATATCCTGATGAACATTCATCTTCCTCCTTTATATGCTGAAGAAAACAGATTAGATCCATTTTTGAATGCTCTATATGATTTTTGCCTATCATAGATACTTTGGACATAACTTGGCTAAGTGTCTCCGTTGTTGCATCTTTTGAAGATGAGATTTCCCTCTCTAGCGTATTTAATGGATCATGATAACAAGCACTCAAATGCCTAGCATGCTCAGAAAATTTTGATGCTTCTTCTAATTTTTGCAGATAACCAGCTTCAGATAGGATCTCATTTTGCAATACATTCACTTGTCTACAAAACTTGGCATTGTTAGTGGTAGAATGACATGTTATGTTGGTATTTCCATGACGAATGGGGTGTGGACGTGTGAAGAGCTGCCGGCGTCCTGTTGATCTTGGCATCATGGGTTCTGATACAGGAAGCATGACATTCTTGGCAGCAATAGCTGCCTCGCCAGACATTTTGTACCCAAATGTGATATCTATCCATTGATGAAGTTGCAACGAAACCCTATTACTTTCTAAAGCATCACGATGCAATTTAATGAAATCTTCAGGGCTCTTTGCCCATGAAGGTACGGCCAAGTCTGACATACCGTCATGAATTGACTTAAAAATTTGACTATCACAATAGAACTCCGGAATGCATTCATCAGGGGTCCATTGGTAGAGCCTCTGCATTGTAGAAGGATACTCATTAGGTTCATACACTGTACGAACAGCCATACGAAGAACATTCAGAGGTAGCCGTCTTGCTTTGTAACTGCAGACAGCCAATTCAGACAGACATTCATCTGATACATGATGAGGGATCTCAGAAGTTGAATAGGTAAAATCTAACTGTTCATCACCTTTGGCCAAGCGCCATTTGCTCTTGCTCAAGTCTCTCCATCCTGCGTCAAAATTCTCATCTGGTTTTGTGCTAAAGTCTATTACCCAAGGCATTACTGGATGAAATGTGTGATCCCCCCACCTTCTCCCTGCCAATTTATTTAAGATTAGTAAATATTCAAAATTACTTAATTCACCTCTCCACCACTTAGTAAAGCTAGAATGCCAATCTACAGATGGAGAAAGCTTTAGATCTGCATAAAGGCTATCAGATTGGCAACCCCCATTGAAACAACCAATTTTTGATTGGGTAGAACCATTTCTTTCAGTCTCTAGTGGCTTTAAAGCATATTCCAATTCAGGTTCATTCCACAAACGCAGCCAAGACCACAATGAGTCAGTCAGCATGACATTGGATGGACATATATTCCCATGGGATAAACCAAGACCATGTAGGTACCATAACGCTGAGAGTAGCTGAAATATAAGAAACCTTTTATGCCAGTCAGACACTAAGGCATCGGGGTTATAGTGAAGAATATTTTCCAAGGTATAAGGGGTCTTCGGAAGAACCATGTTAACGTGATTGGATGTTTTCAACATTGCAATAACAGGAGCTATGTTTGGATGCCTCAACGAACCTGGAACAGTATCTTCCTCAAATGATGGCAAACCAATTAGATTAAGGAAATTTATGCTTTCCCGGCCAGATGCTTTCCCCTCGATTGTGAGACTAAGTGAATCTAATATGCGATCCTCTAGTGAACCAGACATGAAATCAGCTGCAACCTCTTCAAAAGTAGAATAGGAAGAGATTCCCACACGAGCAATTGGGGCCAGTGCAGCAACTGTCCTTGAGCACGAAAATCTTGTAGAATGGTTACAACAGGTTTTTCTTCTTCCAGACTCAACCAAAGACATTCCATCTCTTTGCACACCACCATTGAACCCATTATTATACTGGCTTTCACCAGGTGTATAATTACTTGTACGGCAATCATCATTATCCAGACTATATTCATCACTGAAACGAGGAAAAGAACCAATTTATAACCACTAGTTACTCAACGACATGATCCAGAAAGAATGAAAAGGAAGGAATAGACAATTTTTTTTAGAAAAAAAAAAAAAAAGGCACAAACCCAACCAATGCTCAAAGCCTCAAACATGACTAGCGTCTTACACAATCATCATTACATACCGACTTTAGTTAGCTTAAGGGCTTGAATCTTACATATATTTGGTGAAACAATCTTCCTCATGGCTGGGCCTGTAGTCCAATATAAATTGACCAGCTGAAACCTCACCAGCCGTGGTACTAGAAATCTGTACTTGGAAAAAACAAAACAAATTAAGCAAGAAATTGATTAATATAAAAATGAGCAATCCAGAAACAAAGACAGAGATACCTCAACGACGGCTGAGGATCCAAACGGAAAAGCGGAAGGGGAGATGCCATAGTGGAAAACGAGTCGCTCCGAGAAATCGGATTTGATTCGAAGTTGGAGGCACTCGAAGCAGAAATCACGTGCCCCCATTTTGGCTCCCTCCTCCATCGCTTCGGAGACTCAAGAAGTTCCCTCCATTTTCACCCCCATGAGCTTCGTTCTGGAACTACCAGAGCACAGATGTTCACTCTTCTCTTTGATCGACAGGTGCGTTAGAACGAAAGCAAGGCATAATCATATATGGCCATTTTAGTAATTACGCCACTCTTACATTTTACATTGTCAAAGGTTTTTCGTTTTCAACTTCTCATTGGAACACTAATGAAGTTTTGCAAAAATTAAATGGAAAATTGCAACAACAAAAACCCCCTAAATTAGCAAAATACCAAAGCGCACACCTAAATAAACTAAATTGCTTGGGGAGACTAGTTCTTAAATTGTAATTATAAAATAAAGCTCAAAAGACTAAAATGCCTTTTTCTTCTTCTTTTTCTTCCATCACCCAATCTCTTCCTCTTTCCTTCTTCCTCCCCCTCTCCCTCTCCCTCTCCCTCCCAACACTAATCATCCTATACATTTATCAATGGGATTGAGATTGTGACCATACCCACTGATCTTTATTACAAAAAAGCTAGTGACCTATGGTTAATGTTAGTCAGTAAGATTAATCAAATTCAAGTTGATAGCAATAGTGCTTTAGAGATGGTATACAAAATCAACATTGGAGAGGATGAGATTCCAGCTACCAAAGACACTACTAGTAAGTTTTGCGATTGGCATGGTGTTATCTTGGTGGGTTATGGTGTGGGTCATTGTATTGGCAGTAGCACCTGCAAAAAATGATTAGGTCGAGTCACATCCTACGAACGCTTTCCTTAAGAGCTATTCCATGACTACCAACAGATGAGGAAGCGACACTCCCCAAGATTAAATGGACTCCTCCTACAAGAACAGAGGGAACAGAACAGCAGAAGGTAAAAGATAGACTCAGCCAGGTAGCAGAAATTTCAAAGGAGGAAAGAGGTGCACGAAAGTTCAAGTGCGGAATGCCTAAGCCTATGCCTCGAAGCATCTTATATAAGTCTCAACCCACTGCACCGTTAAACATAGATTAATCACATTTACGCTACTACAAAAAAGAGCTTTTATGACACTAATTTACAGTGGTAATTAGAAAAAACACTGTAAGAAATATGATGGTGGCATTTCTGTAATTATAAGCATACTTTCAAAGGCAGTTATTTAAAAAACCACCGTTAAAGTATTTTTTACGGCGGTTTTAAACCGCGGTAAAAATACTTTAACGGTGGTTTTTTAAATAACCGCCGTAAAAAGTCTATCAGAATTTTAAAATCTTTCGCGCGATAGTTTTCACTTTTCAGAGTTAGAGCTCATAGTCCCCTATTATTGTCTTCACTTGATTTTCTCCCTCCTCCTATCTTTGTCGGTGTTTATCCTTTGCTTCTATCATCTCCACCATGTTCTTCCATCACCGTCGTTGTCGCTGTTGCCGTTGCCATCGCCTCATCCTCTTCATTCTTATTTGTGAGTTTTTCACCTTCGTTCTTTCTGTGGATTTCATAGTTTTTGTGGTTTGATATGACTATTTTCTTTGGTTAAAAAATATGATGTTTAATCTAGGTTTGAAGAGATCTTATTTTTATCAGATATGAGTATTTGATTTTATCAAATCTGAGTCTTTGATTTTATTTTTATTAAATCTCAATGGCTTCGATCTGGTGGTTGAAGGTGAAGCTAAATGATGCGATTATGGCGAGAAAGAATCTATGTTTACTCCATCAGAATGCTTTTTTACTGGTGAGAGATTAATGGCTAATTGATTTTTAGACCCCTTCCTCTGAGGCTTTGTTCTCCCATCCCCTGATCAACAGGGTGAAACGTAGACTAAAAAAAAGAACTTTTCATGGCGGTTATTTATATAACCGTCGTAAAAAGTCATTTACTATGGTAGTTCTTAAACCATCATGAAATCCTCTACATTTTACGTCGATGGCATAGACGTCGCTATCAAAATCGCCGTAAAAAGCTCATTTTAATCATCGTTAAATGTTTTTTTTTGTAGTAGTGTTAGATGTGATTAATATCACCGTTTCAGACGTTACAGGTGCTTAATGCTATGGTTTCTAAATGTTGGGTGATTAAGGCACATTAATATCAGTTTAAAAGAAAACTATTGCTGCAATTAAAGGATAATCCGTTCAGGTAGCATTAAAGTCTTTACGTTTCTGAGGATTTCAAAAGTTCAAAAGCAATAAATCATGTTTTCAGGTAAGCTCTAAAATTATTACAAATTAATTTCATATTTTTGTAAAAACATCTAATTAAAAAGGTGCCTTGTCCTCCTTTAATTCGCACATAGGGAGGGAAATCGCAATTTCCACTGCGTTTGCCTCCGGTGGCCCATGATCGTGTGCGCAAGATCCTCCTTCTCCTCTAGGCCTATTCACTAGCCCAAGAATACAAGCTAGTATTTATGGACTTGTGTTTTCATTCTCTTGAGCAATGTGGGACTTGTTCTTTTTGACACACCCACACAATTTCCAACAATCCCCCATATGTGTCAAAAGGAACACCATTTGCTAAGTAGCACACATGACCATAACTGTTGTATCTAATGGTCCTTTGGACTATGAACTAGACCTAGACCAATAACACTTAGTACACAGAGATGTCAGTGGTCCTATAAACTATGAACTCATACCTCTTGGGCATATACTAGAGGCATTATTAGTTAGGTTATACCCCCACATTTCTACTATTAAAGGCATTTTGACGCTTTAAGATGGCGTGTGTGTGCCTGGTGCATGACGAATGCTCTAGAAATTTCATCATGGTCTCATAGGAATGACCTCACTCCACATTCATAAAGGTGATTTCATTAAGTGTACTTGCAATTAGCACCCTATTCCGTAAGACTATGGAATCATTAAGAGCTTCTGCTCAGCCTCACCAAAAGGCATTGTAGCAATTTCTCACACACCATAGGAAGGGACTGATGTAACAATCAAAACTCAGAAATTATGTATATATAATAACAGAACAAGTATCAAGCAAATATTATACTGTTATCATCATAATATGGATACAATCATACTCAGAATTAGAAATACGCAGGAAGGGAAATGTCAGGAGGAGAGAAGAAGAATTCCAGAGGGAGGGAGGGAGCCACAGAGAGAGGAGAGATTCCAAAATCATTCCACACTCCTTCTGGTCTTCTTTGTGTCTATATGTATCTTCACTTTTGCCTACCCTAAGCCCAAAGTCATCAGTTGAATAGTATTCCCCTGACAACCTACTTCTCTCAGCTTCTAGCCCTGCCCGTCTCCTTGATTCTTGGTTTGGGCTATCTTTTAGATCACAAACTAGGCCCAACTCCTTTAGGATTGTTACATTACTCCCCCCATTAAGAGGGACCTTGTCCTCAAGGTCCATGCAAGCAATAAACGGCATAAAAAAATGAAATAGTGTAGTCTCCTCATAATCCACTACACAAAAGACATGCAAGTATATTGCAATTAACACAAATTCTTTGTGCATCCATGCTGCAAAAAGATGGCAGGGTTTTTGCAACTGAAACTCCTTGAAGCACAAGTCCAAGTGTTTAAATCTGCTTACATCTAGTTTAGAAAAATTCCCCAAGCAAAGTTCCATATGCAAGTCAAAATTAAATTTGTCTCTCCCATTAACAAGAAGACTATAATTCTCATCAGCATTCATTGGAATATTCTCGCACATAGCAATCACATGAACAAACGTAATCGCTGCACCTTCACCCATAAACCCCCCAATTCTAAAAAATATTGCTGCAATTATGTTGAGCAAAGTGTACAAGACTTTAGTAAAGGTAGAAAAGCAAATAAACCCTAAAAGTTTTCGGATGCCACTTGGTTGTCGCTTAGCATGTATAATGCTCATTATCATATCATTAAAAATGGTCCCATCCACTTCTACAAAATGTTGCAACAAGGCCATCTTAGGTTCCATATCAGTAGACCAACTGAGATGTAGAAGGGAAAAGAGGTGAAGATGATCAACAACACTAAGTGTGTCTGCCTTAAGTGATTCTTGCAGTGGAGACTCCCATAAGATGCCAGGATCATAAGCCTACCTAACAGGAACAAAAATATTTCCAGTAGCATAGTTGTGACCCTTCCAAGTCATTCCTTCAATCTCCAATAAGTGTAATAAGTGTCTCTTAGAATATGTCATGCCCTTATAGGTCGCTAAAGATGAAAAAATAGAACAAATGTCATCTTCATTTAACTGCTGCCGAATGATCTTATCCAGGAAAGTAAGCGCACCAATAGCTCTTATAGGAACATATAACCCTTTAAATTTTTGGGTTTGAGTTTCCCAAGTAATGCACACATAGATGCGATGATGATAAAACCGTCCCTAGCACTGTCTCTGAAAAGTTGCTTTAGGCATAGAGACACCAATACATAGCAGGAAGGAAAGAACTGTACAATTTCAGAAATGGTGGCAACTAAATGAAAGGCTCTTTTTCTCGTAAGCATAAATTGCAATTCCTTTCCAATGATACAAGCTCCCTGTCACACCTTGCTTATATAATATCTTAGAATCCATTTAGAATCCTTTTTGACCACATTGGATGGTCTTGAGCTCAAAATCTCCTTTAGGACGTTACTTTTCCGAAATTACTGTTCACTGTGCAAAATTCAGATTACATGTCCAACTTTGAAAAATTACAACTAATTCTACAAAAATCGTATGGAGGTGTTTCAAAATTCTACAGAAATCTCTTTCAATCCTCTTTAAGGGAAAAATATCCAATTGGAATAATCTTTGCCCATTTCATACAGTTTAATCAATGAATATTACTGTTCATTTCCTAAAATCTGGGATTTCCAGATTATATGCCTTAAATTTGGAAATTCATATCTCCTTGTGTACACATCCAAAAGAGGTGAATTACCTCTCATTTTAAAGCTTGGGATATGTACTATGAGTCTGCCAAAACTTGTAACTTAACTCATTCATTTGATTGGTCAAACTGAAATAAAAAACTAACTGCTGCAGGACCTACGTTTTATCCCTTAACTAACTTTTGCATTAATTCTTTTAATTTCTTTGACATACATAACATGGGCTTACTCTTTCCCATTCATACTCATGCACTTTTATTC